CCCTCCGTCTGGTTCTGGGGGTTGCCCAGGCCCAGGAGCAGGACCTGGCACAGAAGGAGATGTGTAACACAGTGTGGAGGTGCCTGTGTGGGAGGTACACAGTGTGGAGGTGCCTGTGGGGTGGTGGCCGGGCATGGCTGGGTGGGCACAGCCCGCTGTTGGTGACTGACTCATTTGTGGTGAGGGTCGGGACCAGGTTCAAGGTTTGGGGCATCTTCCTTGTGTAAGCCCCTGGTGTGGCACTGCTGGGAGCAGGGAGCACTGACCTGTGGGCTGCCCCCTCCATTCCCCCATTTTGTAGTGCCATGGACTCATCCTGGAGGATGTTACTGTCCCTTTCTGTGCCTCTAACAGAGCCTGCAGGCAGTGTGTCACAGGGGGCACTGCACTAGAGCCTGGCCCTGTCCTGCCTGCCCTTCTGTTGGGTTTGGCTTTGTTGGGTTTAGTGAAGTTGCTTCTTTAGCTGCTCTCACCCTTCTGCCCACATTTGCTCCTGCTCACCCCACTGGGATGTTTCCTTCCGTCTTTGCAGCAGTGACCCGCACCCCTTCCCCTCTCCGCTCCCCCTGCACCCTTGTGTCTGCCCAGCACTGGAATTTGAGTCCTGGCTGGCTGTTGGCTGCAGAAGAGGCTGCAGTGAGTGGTGGAGAATATGTGCACCCCCCAGAGTGGAGAATAAGCGCACCCCCCCAGTAGCAGTGCGGGCTGTGTCTGTGGGGAGGGCAGAGTGGCCGTGCGTGATGGGTGAGTGGCTCCCAGAGGAGCTGTGGGGCCAGAGACGCCACCCTGGCCCCCAGGAGGGCTGTGTCGGGGGGAAGGACAGAGCCTGGGTTCTGATAGGCAGCTGCAGGGCTAGAACGCAGGCAGAGCAGTGGCTGCAGCAGTGGCGGCCAGGCCCGCGAGCCCCGCTGAGCCAGTGTCCTCATGGCCTTGAACTGGCCCAGCATGGGGTTTGCCAAGAGCATCCCTGCTCTTGGCTTGCTGCTCTCCATCCCTCCTCCCTCTCAGTCTGCCAACGGGCTACTGGTGGCTGCTCATTCTTTGGCCCCACTCCCTGCCCTGCAGGAATGGGCATCTTGACCAAAAGGGACAGATGGGCTCTTCTGGGTGAGCTGGGCCAAGCTGGCAGCTTGATGCCCTCAAAAAGAGGGGTCACAGGACTGGCACAGAGCCAAGCTGTGGTGTGGCAGCCCCTCGAGCCACCCGGTGCGCTCTCAGGGCTGGAAGCTCTGCCCTGCTCCCCTCTCAGGAGGTGCCGTGGAGCCAGCAGAACCCTGCAGCCCTGCTGCGGGACCGGGGCTGGGACGGGGCTCATGGCTGACCCATTCTGTGTCCCTTGCAGCTGGCAGGACCACCACCAGCGAGGAGCTGGAGGACATGCTGGAGAGCGGCAACCCAGCCATCTTCTCCTCTGGGGTAAGCACTGGCACAGGCGAGAGGCGAGCCAGCCCCCTCACCCTGGGGTGGGTTAGTGGGTGGACGTGCTGCCGCAGCGGCCCTGGCCCTGTGCTGATGAGCATGGCCCATGCAGGACGCAGGATCTGGGTGCTCAGGTCTGGCCTGATCAGGGGCCATGTCCTGGGTGGGGTTTGCTCCAAACGGCCTTTCCAGGGCAGCTGGAGGGGCTCAGGGGCCCCTGTGCTTCCTTCTCTTGGTGCCCCTAATCCCAGCATCTGTGGGGCTGAGCACGGTGCTCACCGACCCTGTCTCCTTGCAGATCATTATGGATTCAAACATCACCAAGCAGGCACTGAATGAGATCGAGACACGGCACAGCGAGATCATCAAACTGGAGAACAGCATCCGGGAGCTGCACGACATGTTCATGGACATGGCCATGCTGGTGGAGAGCCAGGTAGGACAGCCCTGGGGCCTGCTGGCCGGCGTGCCTGGGCAGGCTGGGGATGATGGGTCTGCCAGCAGTCCCTGCTTTGGGGGGTGCTGAGGAGAGAAACTGCATCTGGGACCAACGCCACTGCCACTGGGCTGAGCTGGGCACCCTGGGGCCGGAGCCACCTGGCCTGTACCCCAGAGCCGGGGGCTGCTGCGTTCCAGGAGTGGGAGATGCATCAACGGGCTCTGGGAGGGCAGTGGGTGGCTGCTCTGCTGACGGAGAATCCTCCGTCTCCCATGGAGCAGCTGGCCCTGCCGAGCGAGCTCAGGGTGCTACCAGCCTCGGTGGTCCTGCCAGGCTGGCCCTGGCCGTGGCGCCAGGCCCTTAAGCCAGGCCTGTGCTGCGGTGCCTCTGCTCACCCCCCTTTTTGCCCGCCATGCTGCCGCGGCCTGAGGAGACATCGGTGGCAGGTAAAGCCCTGCTGGTGCTGCATGCTCTGTCCTGCATGGCCCTGCCCTGCATGGCCCTGCTCTGCATGTCTGAGGCTCTTGCATGGCCCTGGGGCCTGCCCGGGGCAGGTGGGCGAGGGTGGCCGTGGCGTGGTGGCGTGGGTGCCCCGTCCTGTCTGCCTCGGAGGACAGACGTCATGGGTTCGTGGTACGCTGCCCCGCTCTGAGGGCTGGACAGTGCCAGCACCTTGCGTCACGGGAGGTTCTGTGGAGCAGAGGGCTGCGGGGCCGGCGGCAGCGCTGGCAGCTGCCTGCTCTGCCCCAGGCGTGGCATAGGTGGGAAGGAGGGGCCACAGCTTTGGGCCAAGCAGCCAGGCCAGCGTGTCACAGGCATGGGACAGGGTAGGGGGGTGCCTGGAGGGGTCAGTGCTCAGGGTGGGGGGTGTGTGTAATGACAGAGCACCCCTGGGATTGCCAGGCTGCTCCTCCCTGTGCTCTCCTGCGTTAAGCTGAGAAACGAGCGTTGCAGAGCTGCTGGCTCTGACCCCTGGCTGTACAGCCCCACTTCCCTCCATGCCACACAGGAGCGCACTGGCCTTGAAGCTGCTCTCCCCTGCCAACCCTCTCAACCACACGAACTCTCAGACTGTTTGCAGCTGCTGCAGGGTCCAGCTGTGTCCCGCTGCAGCCAGGCCAGGGACAAAGGAGGCGGATGGGCGGGGGGAGCTCGTGTGGGGCCATGTCCCTCTGTGGGCAGGAGCCCACCCCGCCAACCCAGACCAGCAGCCAGGGGGGAGGATGGGGCCCTGCAGCCAGGCCTCGCCAGCCCTGCCCCAGGGGCCTTGGCCCTCACAGGGTGTTTGAGCAGATCAGAGCGATCATCCCTGCATGTGTGTGGTCTGTGAGCATCCCCCTGCGGCGCTGCTGGTGCGCTCCTTGCTCCCTCGCCATGCTCCTGGTTTCAGCAGCGTGATGCTGGTGTCAATCTTGTGGCTTAGATGTCACCTCAGATACCAGACGGGGTGGCTTCCAGGCCGAAGTTGGGCTGGGAAACCCCCCTGACCCTCACACTTGCTTCTCTCTCTGATGGGGTGTGCAGGGAGGTCCCAGCCCCCCCGGACAGAGCTGGTGCTCCCGAGTTCCCCCCGGAGCCCCCCCCTGCCCCCAGGCAGCTGACAGCACCTCTCTCCGTGCAGGGCTGCTGGCGGGCAGCGGCAGGGCAGGAAGGAGCTCACGCCTGCGCGGGCGCGTGGGCTGTGCCCCCACTCTGCAGGGCGAGATGATCGACCGCATTGAGTACAACGTGGAGCACTCCGTGGACTATGTGGAACGGGCCGTGTCTGACACCAAAAAAGCAGTGAAGTACCAGAGCAAAGCCAGACGGGTGAGTCACAGCACGGGCTGGCGACCATCCTCCCCTGCTTACAGTCCTCTGTCCACTGCCTGGCACCCCTGCCTGCCCTCCTCCACAGAGGAGCGGGCAGCATGGTGCAGCCTTATGGGTGCCCAGGCACGGTTTCACCCCCAGCACTGGGCGCAGCGTGGGTCTCACTGGTGGCACCAGCTGAGGCAGAGCCCTAGGAACAGGCTGCGTTAGGGCTGATGACAAGTCGTGTGGCAGTGGTGCTGCTTGGAGGGAGGAAAAGGGATGGGGGGGCTCCTGTGGGCAGGCCTGATGCAAGAGCTGTGTCCCGTGACAGAAAGCAGTAGAGGGAAGGCACAGACCTGCTCTGACCCTGAGTGCCGTGCCAACTGCCTGGCTCAGTCCCTTGCCTGGCTCCGTATTGGTGCAGCGGCTCAGGGCCACTGGGGGCTACTGGCTCTGCTCTGCCAGCCAAGGGCTGAGGGAGGAGCTGGGGTGCCCATCCCTGCCCCAGGGCTGATGGCCGTGAGCAAACAGGAAGGGGGGGAGCCCGCAGACCCCATCCCTGGGGGCCCACCTGCCCAGCACTGACACTAGCCTTCTCCCCTCTCTCCCTGCCGGCTCTGGGACACCCGAGCAGAAGAAGATCATGATCATAATCTGCTGCGTGATCCTGGGTATCGTCATTGCCTCCACCTTCGGCGGCATTTTCGGCTAGACTCACCCCACGGGACTGTTTGTGTGTGATGGACGGAGCCACGTGTGCCGTGGGGCCGCAGCCGTGCTGGAGCGAACCGCGCAGCCCTGGAGCCTCCCAGCAGCATTTCAGTTTCTAATGCATGGTTGTTTGTGACGCTGTGTGTGCGGTGCGTCTGTGCGGAGGGAGCGCCAGCCCTGGGGCGCAGGCGGGGTACAGGGGACAGTGATGGGTGCAGGGGGACCCTGGGGGAGGGGAACCCAAGGTCTCATCACTGCCCCAGCCTGGGTGTCTGGCTGGGATGAGGCAGGGACAGAGGTGCCCTTGGGCACTGCTGCTCCACCTGTGCTGGGCAGTCTGCATCAGGGACAGCCAAGGATGAGGGGGGACTGATGAAGGGTGTTGGGGGCCCTCAGGAGCACGGTGCCCAGTCAACTTCCCCCAGCTTCCCCATCACCTCAAGCCAGAGCGCTCATGTCTTGTCAGCTGCGTCTGCACTTGTGAACACCTTTCCTTGGGCTGCTCCTCCCATGGGCCTTTCGCCCGGTGTGCTCTGCTGGGCCCTGCCTGTCCTCTCTGGTTGGGTCTGGCCGCAGGGCTCCATCCAGCTGCGCTGCCAGTGGTGGTGAGCCCCTCTTGGGCAGGGCACCCCGGCTGCGGGTGTGGGGCTGGATGTGCTTCTGCTGCCACTGGCGGGAGATGGGGAGCTGCTGCTTGGGGCTGCCACAGCTGTTGGGGACAGGGACAGGCATGTGGAGACCTGTGCTGCGTCCCGGTGCTGGCCCAGCAGGGCAGGAGGGTGCAGGGACAGTCAGGCCAGCACCTTTCCCTGGCTGCTTGCCCCGCACCAAAGCCTCATTGCTCCATTCTCAGCCCTGGTGCGTCATGCTTCCGGCTCACACTGCCCCCAGGCCCAGGCTGTCAGGGTTTGGGGTGGCTCTGATGCCCGCAGCCTCCTGTCACGGTCCTGAGAGCAGCCCTTATGTCCATCCTCTGACAAGCAAGGAGCAGCAGCCTTCCTCCTCCTCCTCGATCCCTCTGGCTCCTGAGCAGGGTGATGCCCGATGGCCCCTTCCATCTCTTTGCCACCTCTGGGCATCTGCCTGCCCCTGCCACTTCTCCCAGCCCTGCCCTCCTGCCTGCCCAGGCCATGGCTGCAGCACCCATGCTGGGTGGGGAGCTGCGGCACCCCTGGGTGCCCTCCACCGTGCCCCCCACAGGGATGCAGCCGCTGCAGAGTGGCCTGAGCCTGCTGGTGGCAAAGAGGGACCCGGGGTTGCCACAGTTCCTTCTCCCGAGGCCGGGGCAGGGCTCTGCGCTCACGTTCCTCCAGAGTCCAGGGCTCCAGCCAAAGCCCCTCAGGGGTCCCAGCACAGGGCAGGCACCTGGGGCCTTGCTCACAGCCAGGACAGGGGCTGGGGCTGGGCCCAGAGGCTGGGGGCAGAAGAGGGGCTCTTGGTGGCTGGTGGCCCAGTGGCCCTGCTCTGGCTGGGCAGTGGGCAGAGCTGCTCCCCCCGTGGTAGGATGCTGGACCCCAGCCCAGCACTGCCTTCCCCGGTGCAGCCCTGCCCACCACCCCCAGTCCCTGGTACCAGAGCACAACCCCCCCAAGAAGCATGTCCAGCCCAGCCCCTGCCTGGCCCAAGCACCCAGTGGGACTGTCCCAGAGCAGAGCCCTCTCCTCTCAGCCCCCCAACAACTGATGTGAGCTGCAGCACCGTGCACAAAGGGGTGGGGGGCACCGGGGACCCCCTTCCAAGGCAGGGGCCTTGTCTGGCTAGAGGGGCCAGAGGCGCAGCTGCTCCTGCCCCAGTGCCAGCAGGGTCTGGGCGCTTGGGCCCCTCCTCTGGGAAGCAATAACGTCGCAGGGCTGCTTCCTGGCAGGCAAAGCACCCCTGGGGCCTTGCCCCCCACCATGCCCCCCGTGAGCACAAGGTCACTTTTCTCCCCCAGCAGCGGCTCTTGTGGCCCAAGCTCCCAGCGCAGCAGGGCTGGGCCCCCCCTGCCAAGGCAGGAGCCAGGAACAGCCTGGGGGGGCTCTGGCACTTGCCACCCTGCCAGCAGCCTCCAGCAGCAGGGCCAAGGGGCCATGGCCAGTGCTGGGCCGCGGGGCAAGAAGGGCAGGAGTGGGCTGCCTACAGGCAGGATCCTGCCATCCTTGCCGGGGGGGGGTTCTGGTGCAATAACTGCCCTGTGCAATGGGAAGCCCCGGTCTGATTCTCTTCACCCACCGTCGCATGCACAGACCCAATCATCAACACTGAAGTTGTGCTTGGGGAGACGTTTCACATTTTCTTTCCAGTCCCCAGCCTCAGGCCACTCATCCCCCAGGCCTCAGCCCCTCTGCCCTCCCTACAGCGGGAGCATGGCCATGCAGTATTCAATGAGCAGTGTGGGGCACGCACAGCTTGCACTTGAACTGGGGATTGGGTTTTTTCGTAATTAATGTACTTGAAGGCTTCCCGAGCCCCCCGTGGAGTTGTACCGTTGCTGTACTGTGAGCTAAGTGTCCTTGTTTTCTATGTGATCTCGACCCTAGCTTGCTCTGTCTCACTGCCTGGATGACACTGTACGTCGCCTCCCCTCCTTCACCCATCCCTCCCTGCAAGCCTCCCTTCCTTCTCCCAGAGCTTTGGGTGCAACACAGCTTCCCATTTTGTGGAATTTTTATGTAGAATAAACATTTGTAACTGTAAAGCTCTGGCTGGTGCCTCTGTTTTGGGGGGAGGGTGGTGATGGGGGCCAAGGCGAAGCGCCTGCCACAGGGGTGATGCTCCTGCTGGAGGAAGAGCTCTCGCAGGGGCCAGGCAGCCTCACGATGCCCAGCAGCTGCGGGAGCGTGGCGCTGCGTTCCCACACAGCAGACGGGCGACGCTTCTGCCTCCGTGAGTGTTTGGTGAGGCTGGACAGAGCCCTAGGGTGGAGCTTGAGGGCTCCAGGTACGCTCAGGTAGAGAAGGGAGGGTACAGCGGGCACCGGGCAGCCCCAGCACTGCCTGCCACCCTCTCTGCCCCAGGAGAGCAGGGCTGAAGCTTTGCCGTTGGCTGCTGGGTGTCCCCTGAGCCGGTTCACACCTCGGGGAGTTGCAGTGACTCAGCAGGTCCCGGATCTGGTGCACCCCTGGGTGCCCCCAGAGGAGGCTTCCCGGTGGGACCCACACGTCGCCTCCAGTGCCAGCAGCATCCAGAGCAATTCAGAAGTGAGGGCGACGCTTCCGACCTGTGTATTTCGTATCCGCCCGCACCTCCCTGGGGAGAAAAGCAGAGAGCAGCTGAGCACACCCCGCAGCCGCGCTGGGGCAGGAGAGGGGGCGGGCTGGGGGTTTGCAGGGGTGGCAGTGGGCCAGAGCAGCAGTTGGCTTTGCTGGGGCGGGACCTGGCTGAACTCACTTGCCCTGCCGTCGCCTACGCTCCTTCTTCTCAAGGATCCAGTCCCGGCTCTTCTTCACAGACTTGCCCTTGACATTCCTGAACCGTGTCCTACAGAGAAAGGGGACAGCAGCTGGAGGGGAACTGCGGCGCAGGGCAGATTAACCCCCAGACCTGGGCATGCCCTTAGCCCCTCCCAACCAGTGGTTACCCTCCACCGCCCCGGGATGACGAGGGCCCAGGCAGTGGTGAGGCAGGTGGCCCCACAGCCCAACTCCCTCCAAGCTGAGGGACACCCCCGCTCCATGGGTCAGTGCCCCGCTGTGCCACCTCTAACACAACTGTAGCTGGGCCCTGGGGTCCTGGGGAAACACAGACTCAAGCAGAACCATCGTGCCCCCCCCATCTGTTCTGCTCCAAACAACGCAGACGAAGCCTCTGGCTCCTGAACAAGCTGCTAGTTCTGCTACTGCCCTCCCAGACCAGAGCTGCGTAAACAGAGAGCAGCAGTGTAAGAGGCAGGAAAACATGGCAGCCACAAGCTCCTGGCAGCCATGACAAATATCCTCTATTCTTTGTTGTCTGTCTCTCCCACTGGCTGCAGGAGGGGCTCCTCCCTGCACCATCACTGCAGGAGGAGACCTGGCCAGCAGAGAAGCCCCACCAGGCCCCAGCTAAGCAAAGAATCCAACAGCAGGAGAAAGGGAACACCAGGCCTCTGGCACGGCATCCTGCCTCCCCAACAAAAATAGTGATGCTCGATGCCACCACTGTAACACCCCCTCCCATCACCACTGGCCTGTGCCACAGTGCTGAGCTGGAACGCAGACAGACAGCACCCCTCCAGCCCAATGCCCAGCAGCAGTGGCCCCACACAAAGCTCTCCAAACTCCGCCCTTCTGTTCCTTCTGTTAGAGGCTGTTTGGTGGGATAAAGCAGCACCCACCTGGGCGGCCAAGGATCACCCCTGTTCCTTCCCCTCAATTGCTTCTCACATGGCAGCGCTGTGGCCTTCAGCCAGCAAATCCCAGCCCCTGTCCCCCATGCTCCTTGCCTGGGAAGAACCTACAGCTTCACCCCTACACAGTACCTCTCATTGGTGAACTTTGCCTGGCGCATGTCGTCTCCCTCAGCACACTCAGTACCAAGGCCCTGAAAAGCAAAATTGGGAAGTTTCACTCTCCTCTGGCACAGACAGAGCTAACAGTCATGCTGTCTAAACAAATGGGATCCCAGAGCTCTGTGAGGGGAAGGGCTGAAGCAGGAACAAACTCATTTTCCAGAAGTTGTGGCAAAGAAAACAATCTCAGGGAGTCGGGGTCAGTGAAGCTGACAGTGAACGTTCAACTGAACTATCCGCAGGTGCGTGGCTGCCTGGCTCCTGCTCTCACCCCCCACAGCTCCCCTCCAGCTCCCAGCAATAGGGAGGCATCTCTGCTGCCCCGCAGAGCCCCTCTCACCTTTGGTAATGTGCCAGATGTCCCCACAAAGAGACAAAGGAAGAACCTGAAAGAACAATAACAAAGAGCATGAAAGTGATTGATCATGCAATTCCCAGTCCCCAAGCAAGGCTGAGACTCTGCACAACACAGTCAGGTCTAAGCTGTAACCTCTGTCCAGGGCTGTACCAAAGGAGAGAGAAACAGCTTGGGAAAAACAAACCACTGCTAAGCTCAGGCTCCAGCCCAAACACACAGAGGCACAGGACTCACTTCTTGGCTTTGGCGCTGTTGGGGTAGTCTACCACCATTCCCCCGGTGAAGCCAGCTCTCATGGCTTGGGTGGTGATGAGCTCCAGCTGGAAAAAGCAGCATGTGCCCAAGTTATTTAGCAGTCACCCCCCCAGCAGTGCCCGGGAGACCTCTGGGCTCGACCACAGCTATGAGTGTGTGCCCAAGATGGGTTGTGCCTCCTCCTGTTAAAGCCTGCACCAAGCTCCCGGTTCTGCAGCACCACCCCAACACCAGTCTGCTGCTTTACTGGGTCCTCCCCAGTCCTCAGTCTCACACGGGTTAACTGACACAGCAGTCTCTCATTGCGAGGGGTACTGGACTGGACGTTCCAGCCCCGGGGAGTTACAGTCCCCCCATGCTGGTGTCTGCAGCCCAGGCCCAGTCACACAGCAGAAAATCCAGGAGAGCAGATTCACATCCATCCCACCCATTTCTTTGATCCTAAGACAATTGTGAAGTGACATGGGCTGCTCTCCCTACAGATTTTTTGGGGCTCTTGACAAGCTTTACAGGTGGCGGGAAAGAGACACACAGATCCAACATGCAGAAACATGAGGCGTTCAGGGCCCCAAACAGCACACGGCATCCCTGCCTGGCTCTGCCCCGTGTCCTGTACCTGTTCTGAGTTCTCGGGGTACAGCTGCAAGACGGCTCGGGACCCTCGAGCCTATAAGAAACAAAGTCACAAATGTGTCTCAGGTCAGGGAACCCCTACAGACTCCCAACTCCCAGCCCAAAGAGCAGCGTCCACCTCCCCAGAGATTCCCAGAGCCCCCTCTGGGGGAGCAGCCAGTGGCAGAGCCCCTCCCCAGCTCTGTGCACACAGGTACAGCAGCAGGTACAGAGCCGTGAGGCACCGTGCAGGCAGGCACACAGATGGGAAATGGGCACCCCTGCCAGTCCTCTGTTTCACAGAATCACAGAATCATCTCGGTTGAAAAAGAGCTTGAAGATCATCTCATCCAACCATGAACCTCATGCTGACTACAGAGAGTTTCAGAGCATTTGCGTAAGATCCCTGACTGAAAATGTCTCGCTGACATGCACTGGTGAGGATGTACAGTCAGGAGCCTGCCTGGGAAAGCATGACACTTACCAAGGTGGTATAAAGCGTTGAGAAGAATCGATAAAGGCGTTTTGGAGGGCTGTGTGATTTCTTATCAGCGTTACAAAGCCACTGCACCGCAGAAATACTGAGAAAGAAAACAAGACACCCGGGACACTGAGCCATTGACTCTTTCGAGACTCTGTCACCTCCCCTTGAGCTGCCTTCCGGGTTCAGGAAGACAATTCCACTTTCTCCATGTAGCTTTGCATTCTGTCCTGCAGTCACACCAATCCCCATGGAGACTCACTGTGTGAAACCCAACAAGGCACAGCAGTTGTTCAAGCACAAGAGAAACACCAAGCTCCCCACTGAGCCAAGTGCTCCAGTAATTCAAGTGATTGGCTGTGGCCCTTGCAGGGCAACACCGGTTTTGCCCACGAGCATGCAACAGACAATCCTTGCTTATTCCCAGCACCTTCCTGAGATGCCTCTAAGTAGAGAGTGTTTCTGCCCTTCATCCCCACACTAACCATCCAACCTTTGATCCAGGGACTGACCCTGCAGTTCAGCAATGGTACAGACTTTCTGGTTTCCTCCTCAGAGCTGGTCTCAACCCTCCTGACAATATCCTGATTTTTCTCTTATTTAATTCAATAAACTTCCGAGCTCGCCAACACAAAATAAGACAAGTGTCCCTTGGGCAACAGCTGTTGGAAGCTGGTTCCAGCACTCGGGATCTCAGCAGGGTCAGGCTGCGTGGAGCCAAGAGAGCAGCTGTCAGGGACGGCTGCGCTTGGCTGTGATGCATGGAGGCAGAGCAGGGGTGGTGCGCGGGCAGTGCAGGAGTGTGGAGCAGCATGGGAGCTCACTTCGGCACACACACTCACCTGATACATCCGTCAAACATGCCGGGCCTGAAGGGAACACCGTGACCCATGTCTGCGAGGAGAAGGTCTCCCTCCACCTCCCTCTCCAGCGCCACATCTGCAGGGAGTGGGGCATAGCTGAGGCACCAACTCCCTGTGCCAGGGCCCAGAGCCAGGGCATGGGGAGGGTGGTGGGGCAGGGCCAGCTCACTCAGCATGGCAGGGCTGATGTCCACGCCGATCCAGCAGTGGCCCTCGCCTGAGATGTGATCCCCGCTCAGCCCGGAGCCGCAGCTGCAGGGAGGAAGCAGGAGTGTGGGGATTGGGGGCTGGCTCCGGGGTGATGCCGCCGGCACACAGCCACAGCAGCCGCTGCTGGGGGCTGGACGCCTCTTGCCCACGGGCACAGCCGGCTGGAGCCCCGACACCCCGCGGGCCCCACTCAGGGCTGGGCCCCCACTCACCCCACGTCCAGGAGGAGGCACGGCTGGTCCCCGGGCAGCCCCAGCAGCTCCACGGCCCGCTCCGACATCTGC